GTCTCAGCAACAATACCTCCTTAAATCACAGAAGAATAAATGTGTTTTCCAGAGCGGAGTGACGGCAGCAGTTTGGACACGAAACACAGGATGTCCGAGCGGATTACAGAGCGACTCTTTGAGGAAAACCCTGCGTCTGCTCTCTGACCCTTCAGGCTGATTTCAGGGTGGAAACCACCACTGCTGAGCCCCGAGGAAAACAAGAAAAAACACCTTTGTGTTCTCACAAATCTCCTCACATGTTGGGTGCTATTTTTCCAGCAGGTCTGGCGGTGTTACAACAACAGCCTCTGATTAAATTAGCATTGCTAACCCCGGCCTTCACAGCGCAATTAATCTGCAGCGTTTGGCTGAATAAACAGGGTAATACATCGCCGCGAGACTGTCAGACAGCTCGGACACTTTACATCTGTTGGCCCGGGAGCGGGCGTGCTAAGTGTTAGCGTGGCGTTTTGGCCACTTAGCAAAGCTAATGAGGAATAAAAAAAAAAAAAAAAAGAGAGGAAATAATTCAGGGAGGAGTGCTGTTAGAGGCCTGCGTTGACATGTCTGCAGACGCTACACTTAGTCGGCATATTTTTTTAAAAACACTGATAAAGATCAGAGCTCATTCCATTAATCCACTTCCTGTTTTGCATCGCTGTAGGTACATTTAAAAGTTTCAGGCTTTTTAGGATTTTTTTTTTCTTCAGTTTTCTAAGTAAATAATCAGAACCACATGTTAAAATGGTAATGAGTAGATTAGCCTGTAACACGAGAAATATAAAGCTGTAACTGTGTAAAATCTCGGCAGAGGAGTTGGCTGTTAACATTAATCTATAACTATGGCAGTTAATCTATTTTAAGCAAAAAACATAAGATGTCTTTTGGCCACAGCAGTATATGTCTTCAATGCCATACGTGTTTGGGATGATTGGAGTAGATTGTTTGTATTATTATTTATCCATTTGGACAATATATTTTTGCCGCCACCAAAAATCCCCTGCCGCCCACAAATCATTTTCCCCATAGACCCCTTTATAAACCTCCTGTTATAAAAGACACATCTGTAAAGCTGTTGACAGGACGGTTTTTAAAAATGTTCCAAACCCTAAAAAAGCAGTTTTAATGTGCATGTGCACAAAGGTTCTCAACAGGGACAGTAGAGCTCGTCAATGTCTGAATCACAGCTGGGATTACAGCATCATAGAATCTGTATGCTTTTGGGGTTTTCCCCTATCTCGACTGGCGATTCTGTGGAGGAAATACAGCTTTCTCATATCTACAACAACAGTGTGTGAGCTCACCCCTTTCTAGCTGTGCTGCGTTCAGGTACGTCGGTTCGAGACTTGGCGTTGTTAAACCAACCCCAGACGAACGGGCTCTGACCTCCAATGACCTCCTTGATGACAGACGAGACGACTCCCTCGCCACTGACACACACACACACACACACACACACACACAGACACACAAATATGCATTTCTTCCATTTTCTTCCACTTCTAGCATTCGTGGCATGAATTCAACAAAGGCCGTCTGAAAGTGTGCACCGTCTTCCATTCAAACCGTTTAAATTTCTGCTGTTATACATTTGTTTTTTTTGCACCTCATTGACAATCTTTATTGTTTATATTTTGTTGCATTTGCATAGTTTCCCTCGGGATGAATAAAGTTTGATCCTATATTATCTCATCTTAAATCCTTGCTGTGGCCCACTTCAGTGCATAGCACTGTAGCCTAAGGGAACAGGGTGCTCTGACCTTTGACCTCCTGACTGATCATTACTGTTGGCGATCTATATAATTGAAGTTTATTTTCCTGTCAGGTTCATCGTAACTCATCATAAGTCTCTGTAGATAAGAGAGCCACAGAAATAACCAGAAGTTAGAAAATCAGCTGGTTCCCAGTTCTCTGTGTTTTCTCAGCAATGAAATAAAAGAGACGTCTGGAGGAGATAAGAGCCCTGCGCTCCTCTTCTGTTTAAAAAAAAAAAAAAAAATCACTTGTTCCTCTCTGGCCTGGAGGCTGACCAGTGCAGGCCGCCGGCCAATTGAAAGACGAAAAAAAAAAAAATGACCCTGAACTGGGTGAATTAATCTCCGTGGGCGCTGGTGGATGTGGAGGAGGAATCGCAGGCTTTCCACAGAGAGTTTGGGAAAATTACACCGAGTCGTAAACAAATTTGTCATCTTAATCTGGGCGAAAGGGAACAGAGGCAGGGAGGCTTCGGACAGGTAATAGGAAGAAAGGGTCCGATAAGTTTAACACAGAGAGTTCACTTCTCTCGCAGGAGCAGATTGTTGTTTTAATGCAACACAATCATGAAGTTGGCGGAACATAAACCCACAGAAAGTCACTTTACCTCATCAACGTGAGATATGTCGAGATATACATCTGTGTGAGATGCATTTTTTTTAGTGTATGCAACTGATAACAGCAGATTAAAAATACCTACAAAAGAGGCTAAGCTAATTAATGCTTTCAGTAATAGCATACCTATTCAGGTATTTTTCAATTAATTCGCTGTTACTTTTAATGTCTTGCGCTGATGTTAAACACTTTGAATCCCCATTTTCCTTAATGTATTAATGTAATAATGAATCAGGATTTAATTATTTAATTGACTGATTTAATTTGCTATGCATTGCATTCTGGGACGACAGTATCCATCAACATGACACTCAAAAGCCAGAGTGATTTCAATCTGCTATTATTTGAAACTGTGCAGCATCTGCTCATATATCACCATGATGGAGGTCAAAGACAGTTAGTTGATCTGCTGGTCCAACACTTTGGCCTCAGGGATCCAAAGACACCAGGGTCAATGTGTGGCAATTAGTTAGTAATCATTGCAGCGATGTGTTCGGTAATGTCACAACGCACGGAGTGGCAGAAAGAGGGGAGTCACTGGACCTGTTTTCATGCCGGCGTTTCTACTTGTTTTTGCAGGATAGGCACAGGTGGAAGTACTAACATTAACCGTGGCTCTGTTCCATTCAGTGTCCCAGGAGCCCTCTAAAAACTGAGCCAGCATGTGCAAAGCTGGCTCTCCTAAAAGGAACACAGTCTTGTTATTCGTGACACCGGGGCTTCTTGCTTTGACATATCAAAATGTCTGCCATGAAAAGGCAAATTTTTGCCCGATAAAACTGCAAGTATCTGTTTGTCCATAAGCATCTGTCTGTGTGTGTCTACCTTTATCCAGGGACCTCTCCAGGGTTCTGGGTTTCTTCCTGATCACACTGAGGACGACAGTCCGACCCGTCTGCCTCATCACCTCCATAACCTCCTGATTGGACAGGCCGTGGAGACTGACGCCATCCAACTGCGGAAACAGACAGGAGGACAGGAGGACTGGTTGGGCTGTGTTTTTCTCTAGATTTGAATGCGTTACACATTTTAGGAAATGTACAGTAACATCTGATTAGGTATAAAAAACAATAAATGACACGTAGGTGAATATTAACGATTAAATCAGGTTGTTACAGCGAGCAGTCGGTCGTGGATTCGGATGTTTCCGCTGTGATCTGCAGCGCTGCCTGGAACCACTTGTTTCACAAACACACCTACTGCATCTGAATCAGGCAAGAGACACAGAGACGGAGTGTTTTATTGGAACATTAAAAATAGAGGTAATATGCAACCTGTCATAAATCTGCAAATTGTGATGAAGGAACTTCACTCTCATCTTTGTGTGCCGTAAGCTGTGACCCAGAAAATGAACAGAATGTGTCAAATGTAAGCAATGTTTGTTTTTTCAACTTCTCAACACAAATAACCAAAAATAATGAATATGAATATAAATTCAGAATGATGTGACTTGGATGAATCCTGTTCTGATTCAAACAAGCTTTGAAAAATAGAAAAGCGCCAACAGTAAAAACTTGCTGTGTACAATAAGAGCCCCGTAGCTGGTTCACTATGAGAGCCCCGTAGCTGGTTCACTATAAGAGCCCTGCAGCTTTACAGTAATACCACTACAGCTCCTTTACAGTAATACCACTACAGCTCCTTTACAGTAATACCACTACAGCTGCTTTACAGTAATACCACTACAGCTCCTTTACAGTAATACCACTACAGCTCCTTTACAGTAATACCACTACAGCTGCTTTACAGTAATACCACTACAGCTGCTTTACAGTAATACCACTACAGCTGCTTTACACTAATACCACTACAGCTGCTTTACACTAATACCACTACAGCTGCTTTACACTAATACCACTACAGCTGCTTTACACTAAAACTACTACAGCTGCTTTACACTAAAACTACTACAGCTGCTTTACAGTAATACTACTACAGCTGCTTTACAGTAATACTACTACAGCTGCTTTACAGTAATACTACTACAGCTGCTTTACACTAAAACTACTACAGCTCCTTTACACTAAAACTACTACAGCTCCTTTACACTAAAACTACTACAGCTCCTTTACACTAAAACCACTACAGCTCCTTTACACTAAAACCACTACAGCTGCTTTACACTAAAACCACTACAGCTGCTTTACAGTAATACTACTACAGCTGCTTTACAGTAATACTACTACAGCTGCTTTACAGTAAACTACAGCTGCTTTACAGTAATACTACTACAGCTGCTTTACAGTAAAACTACTACAGCTGCTTTACACAGTGTCGGAAATACACGAGGGCAAACGGCAAAACTGCCCCTAAGAAATATAAATTTGCCCCCGATATCACTAGGAGAGGGGCAAAAAATGCCCCCGAACTTCCTAAACAAATAAATCAATGGAGCGCTTCTTAATCAGACCTGTGACTGCGAGACTGCGGTCAACTCAGCAGACACTTAAATTTGAGTGCACCTATATGCTGAAATTCACGGTAAACTCATTCAAACAGATCGGGAGCGAAGGACTTTGAAAGATTAAATCGGAAAGATTAACGTGAGACAACATCCGGTTTCTTCAGATGAACATCCGGTTTTCAGAATAAGATGCCAACAAATTACACACATTGCATAATGGAAATTAGATTAAATGAATTATATTCACATTAAGTATAAAACATGCTACCTGCATCTCGTGAGTTAAAGGGAAAATACACCTAAATTGTGAGTAAAGTGTCTTTATTCTTTGATTTGAGGGTTGCTGGAAATGAATAATACCTGACTGACAGTCAATTAAGATAGCAAAAACTCTGAACTGAATTTGTACCTTCAAATGGCACATTTTTAAAATTTTTAAGGTGCTATAAAAATGTTTTTCTCAAAAATTCCACACAATGACTAATGCATAAGTTCAGGACAAAAATGGGTAATATCACAATATTTGAGGTGCTACAAAAATATCTTTCTCAATAATTCCATACAATGACTGATGTATATGTAATCAAGGCATCGTTGACTTAATAATTGTTAACAGTTGTTTAAAAAATTGAATAATAACAATAAATAACCACAAAGAAATAAGAATACAATTGAATATGATTGTCTGATTTATGTTTGTTTTTTGTTAAAAAAAAAATCTAAGAAAACACTTTGAATCTGTAGACTACTGCCTAATAGTCTTATTATTGCCATTTGATGACAATTGCTCATATATTGTAAGCCTAAATAAGTATATTTATTATTTTGAACAAAGGTTAAATGTTATTTCACAAGTTTCAAAAAGTGCCCCCAATTTTTTGAAAATGCCCTTGGATTTCAGTCAGTGGGTGCAAAAATTGCCCCCCAAAAAAATATGTAAATTTCCTACCCTGGCTTTACAGTAAAACTACTACAGCTTATACACAGTAAAGAACTACAGCTGTTTGACAAGTTAAATGTGGGAGTGGTAGTTTTGTTTAAAAATGTGTTTAATGAGTTTTAACAGTGTTAACCCATCCTAACTGAGCTGGCTATGGTATTTTCTGTGTATTTCTAGTGCGTTTTAGTAGGTCTGAGTGTGCTTTAGCGGTACTTTCCCGCCCTACCTTGGCTGGTCAGAGGGTTGTAGCCGATGATGGAGATGCCGAGGCTCTGGCCGTCGTTCTTGGTTAGAGGAACCTCGTGGATCTCATATCCCTCTAGGTTGGGCTGAAACACAAACAGAGAGTCCATTTATTTCAGCTCCGACTGCACCGTCTCCAAAGCCCCAAAACAAAGAGAAAAACAAACTCTTTTATCTTTTGTGTGTTTGTCCAGAAGAAAGTTTGTCTCTTAAATGATTCAACAACTTCAAACTGAAAAGTTGATGGTTTGATGGAACCATCATAGTTGAACTATGATGGTTCTTCTGACTGCTTACCGCTTTGCTGAGTCGACGTTGGGGCGCTAGGCCCGGGGCGCGGGGGGATAAGGAGGAGACGGGGGCCGAATCAGGAGGTGGTGGGGGAGGCGGGGCTGTTGACCTTTGACCCCGGGGATCCCTGGCGATCAGCAGCGTCACCTGGCTCCCACACCCCTGCAGCACCTTGACGACCTGGTCACTGGTGAGGTTGCTGGTGGGCGTCGCCCCGATGCGAAGAATGTGGTCACCTGTGCGGAGACGCCCGTCCTGATTGGAGGAGAGAGGAGGAGGAGCATGAGAGTCAAACAAATAGAGAACACTTAAAATGATCAGAAAGTAATAATATACAGGTATAAGTGTCCCAGCTATTTCAAATTCTCAAATAGTGGCCAGTGGTCTGTATTTACAACTGCAGAGAGAAACAAGCTGTCATTTAAAACAGGCTTGTATTAGAGACAGTTCTTTGTATCTGTTATTTGGATACCTGCAACTATTTACAGTCATTTAAAAGGTGCAAGATCCGAGATTGGGAACATTTCTATTGTCTCTTCAACAGCTCTCAACATGTCGACGGTAGGCCGGCGGCCCATAGCTAATGGTGCTAACAGCGCAAACTACTCCTAAAGTGCCGACATAGCTAACAGTGTTTACCTGAGCAGAGGGTGAGCGCTGCGCGACTTCATTCTCTGCTCGGGTAGACATTACTCCACTACATCTTTACATAGGTAAGTTGTTTGCTGCTTTATTAATGTTCAGAATGTTAAATGTAGCTCCTTTAAATTGATTCAGATGCTTCTGTAGTTTTTTTTCCTCATGTTTTTTGTCATTTGTCACATTTTACAACAAATTATTTGTCAGATAAAGGCCAAACGAGATTCAGCCGGTACTTGACTCCTGCTGTGGGGAAGTCAAAAAAAAAAAAAGAGCATCGATGAAAGGTAAAAGCAGAGATGGGGAGAGGAAGTTAAATGGTGAAGGGAGATAAACCAGAAGAGGTTGAAGACGATGAAGATGAAAGAAGACAGATCAAATCTGCAGAGACTTAAAAAAGGCTCACTCTTTGAGATTGTATGAGTGTGTTGAAAAGCAGGGTGGTTCAACATGTCTTGGAGGTTTTCTTCATTTCTTTGCAGAGAAATTCATCTTGTCCAATTAATCTAATTGATCTAATTAATCCACTTACAAGGCGATAATTCCTCCCTCAGTCCAGCTGCTGCTGCCTGCTGTCTGTTCTGATGCACTGCTCGTCCTTTAACTGTTATTGATGCAGAATACGTCCACTGAACTGTCATTTCTGCTTGAACAGCACAAGTTGCTGCTGTCGGCTGATCGACTAAGGCAGCTGCTTGTTTCAGTACTCTCACAGTCAAAATCAGCCAAAGTCGATCAAAAATCAGGTAACGTAGTTTAGTCCGACTTACCTAATGAAGACTGTGTGTATAAGTCATTCTCCTCCCTTTCTGCTGTCTGTGCTGTCTATTTTGCGAGGGTACCGGCGCAGCATCCCGGGATTAGCACCGCTCAAATCAATTGGGATTGGCTTAAAAGGCGCAATGTGTAAGATCTGGCCAGAATTTTTGTTGAAAACATTAAAAATTAACTCATGTATTGTGTTGCAGAGATATCTGCTGAATTAAGCATGCTAACCAGCGAGATAATACCACTTGTTCCACGAGAGTGTCGCTGTAGCGCCCAGTCTCAGTCTACCATGAGAGGATGAAGAAGTGGAGGTAGAGCTAGCCCGAGGGCTTGTCAGGACTTTGTTTATTGACTAAACCCAAAGTGACAGAAACACGAAAAGGGCTCGCATGGGTGTGTTTTTCATTAATATCACGATGTAACACTCATCAGCTGAACTCACCTTGTCTGCCACGCTGTCTGGGAGGAGCGTCCTGACCACCACTCCGGTCGTCCTCCCTCCCACGATGCCGAAGCCCAGACCGGATCCATCGTTGACCAGCTCGATTTCCTCCACGTGACCCCACTGGTCCTTCAGCATTAAGACGGAGGACGAAGACGTTCATTAATGGGTTATGATATGTGATCAGAAAAAGTTATTCATATAGACCTCAACCATATATTAAAAGAATAAGAAGTTTGTTCAGATTTCACCCAAAATCGCAAAACTAAAGTCACACATTTCACAGATTCTGAAAGACACACACACACACAATGAAGGAAGATGAAGTATTTATACTGACACTACTGAACATTTGTCTTGTGAGTTCTCATTGTTTCTCAAAGGTTCATCTGCTTGTTCCAAATATTTCTCTAAAAAGAGAAAACATTGGATTTATTCTAAAGGCTAAGAAGGTTACTTTATGTCTTATTGCTGCTCTGCATGTCTGTATGTGTTAAAATCAGTATTGATTCCCTGTGTTTTGTTTCTTCCTGGTGTTGCTTGCATGGCTACGTGTATAAAAACAGATGGAGACCATCATCTATGCCTTCATCAGCTCCTGATTCTTGGGGTAGCGCGTCACCCTCAGGAACTCTCTCCCGGCAGATCTCTGCACTGCTGCATCTATGGACCTTTAAACAACTTCTGAGAACCTCCCTGCTCACCGAGGCCTATGGAGTTCACTCTGTTGACTCTGCTACTATTATTTTCTCTTCATGTGTTATTTATCTGTCTCAGTATGTGTAAAGTGTCCCTGGGTCCCCGAAAAGGTGCTTTAAAATGCAAGCTATTCTTATTAATATTACTACTATAGTTGCTGTATCATTGTACTATTATTTACTATTTTCTGTTGAAAAGAAAACTATGAACACAAATGTAGATTTCCTTAAATAGGAAATCCAACTAACCTTCTATTATACTTTTTCTATTTTTGTCATCATTTGTTGGATATTCCTCCGTTTTGCTGCTCGAAGTGTCATGTGACTTGGGCTTTGTCTTTTAGAATGTACAAACGGGAGATTTCAATAAAGTAGACTATAAATATTAGATTATAATATATTATATTATAAAATTAAAAATTGTCACATCCCGGAAATACTTCACTGCAAAGTTCACACACATTATTCTTTGAACAGACGTTTGGACTTCAAGATCAGAGGGCCATTAAAAATCTCTCTTGCCTTTTTTAAATAGTGCAGCTGTTGGTAAAAGCTTTTTAATATGCAAAATGTTCATTCAAAAACCTAAAAATCAACCTGAGGAAAGTTAATGAGCAGCATTACAGCAAAAGCATTTTATTTCAGTTACCGCAGAAGGATCTGATCCAATTATTTCTTCTAGTAGACTGAGGCAACGATTATTTTAATCATCATGAATGAATATAAAGGAGATATGTCACGAGGTGAAAGGTGGCTCAGCAGGTAATCACCAGCTGAGAGCATTTCCTCCTCTCTGATAGCTGCTGATCAATGGGAGGCTGCAGCACGCACAGCACGCACAGCACGCACAGCACGCACAGCACGCACAGCACGCACAGCACGCACAGCACGCACAGCACGCACAGCACGCACGCACGCACGAGGCGGCTCTGGTCTCTTATTACAGCTCTGGTCTGATAGAGGAGGTCTCCCTCTGTCTAATGAAACAAACCTGCTGCTCAGCTCACACCAGGACGCTGAGAGAGGTCGGATCACAGTGAACGTGTTGAATGTTTTCACAGGAGACGATCTGTTATGAAGCGACTTTATTTAGGTTTCGCACTGACTGCACACGTGAAAACGACATATGTGTCGCCAATTATTTTATTTAAATTTTTTACTTATATTGGGGTGTAATAAATGTCAGTGAGCCTGATGACTGGTTAGCCTGAGTTTGCTGTGTTGGCTGCTAGCTTCCTGCCTGTGAAATGAATTAACACAAATCGAGTACAGAAAGTCTCAGGACCAGTTTGCACTCATGTTTCATCTGGATATAGAGCGTAGATTTAATATAAAACAAAGACCCACCTATGATTGCATTCTCTAGAAGCCAAAACGTGCCGTATGGCATAAGGCCAGGTGAAAAGTCGTGCTAATGTTGAAAACGACCAATAAATGTCCTGAAGTTTTGCTTCTTGGGAAGATATACAACGTTTCTGAGTTTAACAAAGCCCTAGGAGGGACAAAAGCGCTTGCAAGTTTTCTGAAATTAGGTGGGACGGACTAGTTCTTGTGCTAAAAAAGGGGCGGTCCACCCATTTCAGAAATCAAAATGAGTCTACTATTAATGTTCAGCCTGCTTTCTGTGTTTTCTGTGCATGACTCTGGCAGAGAGAGAAATCTACAACCAGAGTCTTGTAGTTTGACAAACATGGCAGGGAGGGTCTTCGGGCATGTCCGCAATATTTTAAATGTTTTCATCTACAATTATGCCTCTCGCCCAGAGGCAAAATGGAGATTTTTAGAAACACCTTTAGAGGCATCTGCACCTAAAACTCTGGTTTCTGTGTATCCGTGTGGACAGCTGTAAAGTGGAGCTCATGCCCATTGTTGCTTTGTGTAAGGAGCATGCCCCTGAAACTACAAAAATGGTGGACTAACGGTTTCCAAGGTCAACATTTTCTCTGCTTTCAGCGATCAGCAGATATGCATGCTGGGAGATTCTTTAGCGAGCAGTTTGTTTTCACATGTGACTCGTTTGATTGACAGGAGACTGGTCATGTGACCGCGATGACTGAGGGGAGTTGTCAGTAAAGTTCATAAACTTTCTCCAGTTGTTCTTTAGTTAATTTCCTCTCAGTCGAGGCAGTTTTAAAAGGTCCCTTCAGGTTTCTTTAATTGCACAATCTGTTATCTTTTATCTCTGTTCTTTCTGCTTTTTGTCATTTTTAGGACAGCAATAAATAACGCGCAAAAAAAGTGCATTGGCTGACACGCTGTCCTAATCGATGGCGGGGAAATATTCACTGAATAGACAAAAGCTGTAAAATCACATCCGACTCGCTGATTTATACCCGCCTTTACGAGCGACAAGTTTCCTGTCAGCGTCCAAAGCCACTACAGCGAGAGGAGGTTTGGACATGATCAGCTGTGAAGGCGGGTCAGAGCCGCCTCAATCTGCCCGGCAGAGGAGTCTTGGCTTCGGAGGAGACTGATAGTTAGCCGGGCCAGAAGAACAGCAATAAAATCCCAGCCAGAGTTGTGTTTTTTATGCCCGCGGCTCGATTAAACGTGACCTCGATGGAGACAGGACATGAATAAAACAAAAGGAGGAGGAGGAGGCCTGGTATGCAGGACGAGGCTCGGGTCCAATGAGCCAAGAGGAGGAGGAAGAGGAGGAGGGTAACAAACAAGAGGGGCAGTGTAATTCTGTGTGATAATGACCCGACAATAGAGCGGGGCAGAATCATTACGGCCGAGGCCGACCTGTGGTCCTCGGCTCACATTAACAGTCCACACTTGCTCCGGTTTGTCACCACATCGCTGTTTTTATAGTGGAAGTCTTTTCTTCTGGTTATCTAAATGTCAAAGCACTCAAACATTTGCATGTCCTGTCTTGTATTCAGTCCAATAACTCAGGTAAACATACAGTATCAGTACGTCTATAGTGTTTGTGATTCTTCCATCTGCTCTGTTTATATTTTCTCTTTATTTCCCATTAAAATGCTCAGGGTTCTTTCCCTTATCTTCACTTTGTTATTATTGGCTCTACAATTAAAATACACTTTAATAATTGAATACATTTCTGTAAGGGAACTTGGTGTTACGGTCAGAATGACATAAGAATTTGGCGAGGACATTAGGAGATTGAGCCTTTACGTATTTAGCAAAGAGCTTTTGACTTCAGGCTGCATGGTGTTCTGGTTGAGCAGCAGCTCAGTCACTGGCCCAATCCCAACGTCCCCCCTAAAGCCTCAAACCCTGAACCCTCAAGGACTCACTGACGTCACCTGGTAAGTGGTTGAGTGTGAGAGACTGTGAGGGCTTGAAATGGTGGAAATAGGAATGGGACAGCACTTTGCTGCAACATATCATGTTACCATGACAACGACAAACAATATGATGTACAATTGTGGGTATTTATGTTATACTTTGTACTCCCTGATTTGAATGTCTTCCAGGCTCTTTCCTCACAAGATGAGAGGTAATTTCATATTATCTATTTACTCGTTTTGTCAAAACAGCTTCAATGACAAAATCAAATATTTGATGAATAAATAAATAAATATTCTCTGATTTCAAGTTTGTTTTTTGTTCCATCTTTAACCCTTAAACTTTCTGTGTAAATGTAATACTGAACACACGTGAGCCGTCCTCTTGGTTTACCTTTTTTTTACGTCTCCATGCGTCCACTGGTTACCTCGTGTTTAACGTCACATACATTGATTTGTGGGTAGTTCCCTTGGGCAAAGTCAGCATCCTATGCTGACTTACAGTAAGGGTTCATAAAGGGCTCAAAATGTCTGCAAGAGAGCCTCAAACACTCGATGATGTGACAGTGGGACAGAACTAAACCCTCACGGACTTCGCGGGAGCGCGCCTCAAAGTCCGTGAGTCCGTAAGAGGGGCCATTGGGATTGGACCACAGTTTCAATGAGAAGTGGAAAACACAGCTGCTGTCACTGATTAGTCTGATGATGATGTCATGATCTGCAGCTCGGCAGCTTGTGAATGACCGCTGGTTAAACTATTTATGAGCCGCGATGAAAAGTTTCATAATCACTCCGGTGTTTGACAAGAGAAGCAGAAAAACAAATAAATAAAAACAATTACATGGTGAATTCTGCTGCATTTAAACTACAGAGAGAAAAAGGAATATCACATATCATGCTCATTTTCAGGTTCATCCTATTTTGGATTTCTACTCGAACATGTTTACGTGCTTTGATGTTCTTAAAAAACATTTTTCTCATACTCGCTCCCATATTCATATTTGTCTATTTAAGGCCCCCTTCTTGGGGGGGGGGAAAAAAAAAAAAAAAAAAAAAAAAAAAACACCTTTAAAAAGGTATTTCCTGGTGGCAACCTCCGGTTCTGCAGAGTGAAGCTCTCCTGACCAGCAGGGGGCGACTCCTCTGATTGTACAGAAGTCTATGAGAAAATGACTCTACTTCTCTCTTGATTTATTACCTCACTAAACATTGTAAACATGGGTTTATGGTCTCAATCTGTAGTTTCAAGTCTTCTTCAATACAGCATGATGTTCATTTAGTAAATGATGGTCCATTTAGAGTCAAACAGACCATAAAGCAGGGGATGCTTTAAAGCGGGCTTACTGTGATTGACAGGTTGTTGCCGCTACCAGAGGCTTTAAAACATCAGTCCACAAACCAATAGGTGACGTCACCATGACTACATCCACTTCTTTTATACAGTCTATGAGTAGTTCTCAGGTCGGGGGGGGAAACACTCAAAAGGGGGCAGTATATTCTAATGAGCCTGTATGAGACATAGGAATTGGAGCCAAATCTGATTGGTTTGCTTAGTCACATGTTTTCTGATCCAGACAGCACACAAAAAAACTGACTGGGTTGTAATATTTCACAGGTATAGATATATAGAGCTGGTAGGCGCTTTAAATACACACATAGATGTGGCGAGCACTGAAAAAGTGTTATGTCCTCTTTAAGTCTATCACCAAATTACTCACAATTCCAAGTATAATGCTAAGGTACTTGTGCTTTACTTGAGCATTTCCATTTTATTCTACTTTATACTTCTACTCTGCTACATCTCTGATATTGTACTTTTCACTGCAGTACATTTATCCGTCAGCTTTAGTTAAGAATTTCAAAAACGATAATGATCCTATAAATGAATGTGTGCTTAAAATAAAAGAAGCGCTACTGCAGCCAGCTACAATATTAAGATACATCTTGCATGTTATTGCATTAATATGAACATCCAACAGTGTAATATATAAGAATGTGACAGAGCCCATTTTTGCATGTAATGAGTACTTGAACTTTTATATTTTAAGTACATTTTGTTGATAATACTTACATTTTGTCGTTGAGTATAGCTGCCTTTACTTTCAGTAAAACATCTCGTTTGTTTTATTTATTTCCAGAAGACTTTTGACTGGATTAGTCGGGAACTTCTTCCATATTGGTGATTATTAATTGGAAGTTTTTTTTTGTCATTAAGTCTCTTTATCAAGCACCTGTTGCCCATGTTCAGGTTTTCCCAGCTATCTAGTGTGAAGCAAGGAGATTGTATATTAATGATTCAGCTCTTCAAATGAAAAGCTTCTTACTTGGGAGTTAAAGTTGATGATCCCACTGTGGGCGTGTTATTATATGTGGATGATGTAGTTTTATTTGTTGAACAGGAAAAAGATCTGAAGATTATGCTGAACATTGTTGTGGAGTAACGCTGGAAATGGAGGCTTGTGGTAAATCAATGCAAAACACAAATGGAACATTTTAGAATTAAATCATTGGAGAGAAGTCTGATACGTAGTGCTGTCAAATACTGATTAGTTTAAATAGCTTGGCGACGTAGGAGTGACGTAGAGACGCAGTATACGGCTCTGGTAGCAGCAGTGATCTGTCAATCACAGTAGCCCCGCCCTAAAACACACCCTGCTTTATGGTCTGTTTGACTGTAAATGGACCATCATTTACTAAATGATCATGCTGCATTGAAGAAGACTTGAAACTACAGATTGAGACCATAAACTCATGTTTACAATGTTTACTGAGGGAATAAATCAGGAGAGAAGTAGAGTCATTTTCTCATAGACTTCTATACAAGGGCGTAGGTTTGGTCTCAGCATTGGTAGGGACACTGCCAGTCGTCGTCGTCGTCGTCCCCACCTCGCCATCTCAAAAAGTCTTAGTTGAAAGGGGGGGCTTAGCCCCAAGGGGAGAGGCATGTTTGTGCGGCAATTTTTTTTGGGGCCCATTTGGGGCCGTGGATATCCATTGTTTCAGACAGTTCATAGATTGGTTCAATCAGAAAGAGTGTGATTTTGCTCTGTAGTTTTGCTTGCATTCAGTATATGATAACACAAGAGACAGAATTTGAGGGTCATATTGAAATTTGACAACAAAAATATGAACTTTTCTCAAATAAAGGACATCCGCGTCACTCCCAAATCCTAATTCTTAAAGGGACCGCACACAATGGATGGAGAATGGACCTGACAGTGTCAACTTTATACCGTTAAGTATGATGATAGGCTATTGGATTGTAATTTGAAGGGGGAGAAAACATACAAACCAGAACGCACGCACATATGTAGCATGTTAGAGTTATAAATAACTTGTCCATGTGAGAAACAATAGTTTAATTTAATGACATCACCAAAATAATTTTTTTTTTTTTTTTAAAGCCAATAATGCCAAATTATTTGGTGGGGCTGAAGAACATTTAGGCCTAACGACGCCCCTGGTTGATATTATGTTAAACAGGCAAACTTTATTAAAATATATTAACATTTGTGTAACTTGGAACTGATTTAAACATAACAGTAACAAAACCTTAGTTTAAATACAAAACAGTATTCTGCACCAAATAAATAATAAATAATTAAATAAATGAATAAAAACGTTCTGCTAAAATGCCAATATACAGTAACAGTATATTCTATATCCAAAATATATATAAAAAACTTTTCCCAGTTGTGCAGACAAAAAAAGAAAATAAATCTATTCTGCAGCACTTAATAGGCTACAAATAAAGTGCTTTCCTCCTTTATGCAATTATTAGTAGTGCTGGGCAACGATTACAATTTTTAATCGCGATTAATCGCATGGATTTTTTGCGATTAATCTCATTGTTATGGCAAAGTTCAATAATGAATTCAAAAGTAGTGTATTGCGCACTTTTATTTTAAAAGTACTGCTATATGAACAAAAGGGCAATAACATTTGGTTTGCAAACACTTTAAACAAATCAGGTGTTTTTTTAACAGCAGTATTCCCTTTACACAGTAGCAGTTATATTTCTTCGCTATCTGTGCTCAGTGTGTGACTGTATGTGAAACGTTCCACTGCTGTGCAACAGGAATAAAATGTTTCAGCACGTTTCAGCAAAAATGTTTGTCTTCATGACAGTCAGAGCATGTGAATGCAGCTCTACTGTTCATCAATATAATGCTGTAACTCCAAGGTAATTATGATTACCCAGCGATCAAAGAATAAAGACACTTTACCCACAATTTAGGTGTATTTTCCCTTTAACTCACGAGATGCAGCATGTTTTATACTTAATGTGAATATAATTCATACTTTGTTGGCATCTTATTCTGAAAACCGGATGTCCGTCTGAAGAAACCGGATGTTGTCTCACGTTAATCTTTCCGTTATCTTTCAAAGTCCTTCGCTCGCTCCTGATCTGTGCCGTTTAAATGCGTTTACCGTGAATTTGGTGGGGAAATATTGGTGGGGACAATTGTGTCTTTCCCAAACTTTGGTCGTGACTAGTCCCTATGGACCCTATGCAAACCTACGCCCTTGCTTCTATACAATCAGACTTCTTTTTGCAACCAGAGGAGTTGCCCCCTATTGGTCAGTAGAGAGAATATTTTAAGGAACTTCCGCATCGACTTCCCTCGGCAGAACCGGAGGTTGCCGCCTGGTTGTGCTTCAGGAAGGGAACTTTACCTGTAGCAGATTCTATTTGCCAGTCCTGGCAGAATATTCTGTTTAAGATCAAGTGGTAAAATAACCTGTACGGTTTTTAATTGAATTGAATGTTTGACCGATGCAACTTTATCTTCGGTGTCTTATAAACCCGTGAGGGCTGGGAACGTTGTGTGCATGGAACCCTAACCCACGTAAAATAAAGGAATCAATGAAAGTCCACCAGAACCTTCTCATCTCCATGGACCACAGTTTGGGAAACTCCGGTTTAATTAAAAGCCAAATAAACATAGCGCTCTCGTACATCTTCCTCAGGGGAGGTCAGCCCAGTTCAGATTTGTAGATTGGGTTTTTACAATTACGTCACTTACTCATACATCACCGCCTCTGCACTCCCTCTCTCCCGCCTCGCATGCCAGTCATTGACTCGTCCGTCATGTCGATATTCATTGATTGCGCCCCCTCGCAGACTTAAATACATATTGTCGGGGGCGATGCTGCAAGTGGAGCACTAACTTGATTTCCTATAGGCTTTAAAGGTCATAAAAATCATCCGAGTCAATGTCAGCAGACTTACGGCTCGTCATAAACAGGAGGTTCTCACTCTGATACGGAGGCGTGGCCTAAAAGTGACCTCCACTTATGATTGATGCACTCCCTTTTGAGTGACAGCCAAGCTGCTGGGTGACTTCTGTGTGTGGAATTTGCTGAACTCTGACAATCCGCTGGTTTAGGATTTGACCTTAAAAAAACAATCTCACTCCGAGCCATGAAACTCAACAGTGAACAAATGTGCAAACTCAGGCTTCAGTTTTCTGTCACGTTTTGTTCCAAAATGAGAAAAGCTGACACGTGGTTTTACAGCTCAAGATGCACCAAATAATGGCCATTCAAACTGTACGACAGGGAGTTCACCAACTCTGACGCTTTATTGATTTTCTACCCTGAAATGGATGCTAAAGATTTGGGAATTACTTTATTTCACAATCTAAGCGCGTTTTCTCCCAAACAACCAACAGTTAAACTTTAGTATCGGAAGTGCGGCTCCCATCTGGAGTTATACTGCATCTTATCTTCCAGTTTTAGGAATCTGCCGACAGCGCAGCTGAGTGAGCAACAAATACACAGATTATTGATCCGAGAGGAAAGTCAGACAAACAAATCAACTCTGTTAGCACCGACTTCAAACTACTTAAACAGAGCCTGAAAGAATACATGATCTGTCTTATTAACAGATGTAAAGACTTTGGTACTGTGTTTCTCAAATGATGGGTCGAGGTCCTACATGGTAACATAACATGACGTATCTTGTTTGTTTTATCCATACACAGCTTTAGATGTGTATTTTAAAACACAAAGGAAAAAGCACCAGTTGACCAAATCACCGTGTGGAAATTGTCCTGAGTAACCATGAAACCTTTTCTTTGAAGAGACACAAATAAAATTGCATCTGCATTTGTTTTATCGAGGTGACGTAGTCGGTCTTTTGGGGTGTACTACTTTTCTTACCGTGCTGGCGGAGGCGGCGGGTGACGATGTCGCGTTGCGTGGGCGGTCCCTGGCCACCACCAGCTCCACCGCCTCTCCAGGCTGCTGCAGGAGGGTGAGCGCCTGCTGCTGGCTGATCCCCGGCTCCAGAGGAACGCCGTTTATTACCAGGATCTGGTCCCTCTCCTGGAGACGGCCGTCCCTGCAGCCGAGACACACAGGACTTTTCAATGACGTGATAAATGTCTTCTGCAGAAATTTATATTCAAACAAAATAATTTTCTCAAGTTATAGCTAAAGGGTAACTAAAATATGTTTCTGTGAACACGTGAGGCGAAAGGCTTGAGTCATATTTGGTCAGCGCTGCCTAGTTTTACAGTTCGATCGGAGTTCACGAGCTTCATAAGCAGTGATTGACAGCCTTCGCTAATCTTTGCTCCGATTGGTTGTTTTCCTTCGGGAGCGGTGGAATCTCGCAAATGCCATTAGAAGCACTAGAAGGAGGCAGAGGAACCCGATTTGTTCACAGATTATCCGTCTCATGTACTTTTGTTGGGATAAATTGACAGTTTGAGCAAATATGAAAGAAAAATATTTTCTTTAATGTTACGACCTGTACCTTTAAGTATTTGCCACTGAATAGACAGACAAGTCTAAATGCTAAATGTTGTATGACAGACAGCATTACCCAAGATTCTACAGACCAGGAGGAGGCTACATTGATCTGTTTTGTGTGTAATTCAAGTTCATGTCAGTCCAACCAAGTGTTTGTGCCGTTCTATATTTGTAAGGGACCATAGACACTTGTTTGTGTTAGAGGTGAAAATTTGTTAATTCAGGCCAAAGTCATTTGATTTTTGTTATTTTGAACTACAGAGCCTGAAGAAACTGGAACAAAGAAATCCACGTTTTGGAAAACGATCTGCCAAGTTGTAAAGATTTGTAATAAATAAAAAAAAACACCTGAAAACCACCTAAAACGTCATGATAGTTGTAGGAAACTTCAAGCTGCGACAGTGTACCTGTGTGCGATGCCTCCAGGCTGGATGTGTTTGACGAAGACGGCCTGACTGCTGCTTCCTGCGAGATTCAGACCGACCACGCTGAAGCCCAGACCTCCAGACAGAGGCCGAGTCAGCTGACACAGCTCTGTGTGACGGCCCTGCTTGCACGCACACGCACACGCACACATTTAATGTATTTATATATGCGTGCTGTGAAGGTGTGTTTCTGTGACTCCACCCACCTTGGCGGCGGCGAGGATCCACTTCTGCAGGACGGGGTCAGACAAGGGCGGTGTCTGATGGATGGGCGGAGACGAGCCATTGGTCAGGAGGGAGGATGAGGCGGACAGGGTGGGCGGGGCCGAGCTGCCGGGTGGATTGACGGCGCTCATGATCAGCTGACCCTTTTTGGAGAAACTGAAGTCACTGTTGGCATCGGGCGGCATGCTGCTCAGCTACAGATCGGAGGAGGGGGAGGGGGAAGAAGAAGAGAGGTTTGCCAGATAGACTTGGTAAAGTTTAATAAAAAAAGAAAGCTGTCTGTCTGTCATATCACATAAAACTATCTTCATCTATTGTAGAAAATGTATATAGAGTTTTTTTACATAAACACATAATATATACAATCTTGATACATAGCCTAGAGGGAACATTTTACAGCTGGGAAATCAACTCAATTGAACTGCAGAATGTCACTGTGATCAGCTGACATCCCACCAATATCAGAATACAGTGTAAAGAGTATGTAGTCTATATGTTTACACTGTATTCATATCTCCAGCTGTTTATTCTATATATAGTGTATTACTATTAGCAATTCTTGTACACACATATGCACTATATGTATATTTGTTTTTTTATTTCATTTTATTATACTTAATCCTGCACTGCCTATTGTAAAAGCTGCAAATGTTCATACTCTACATATCTTAACGTATTCATATCTACCCCTTACCGTCGATCTTACATTCTTAATGTATTTCATATATTACTTTTATGTTCCATATATTACTATGTCCATATAGCTCTAATCCATCGATTCATGTTGTTAACTTTGGCAAAGAATGATCTCTTATCCCCAAGCTTCAACTGCACTTTATTAACAAAAAGAAAGACTGGAGGACAAAGAGGTGAACAGGATCAGAGAGACGGACGGACGGATGGACGGACACACACACACACACACACACAGGTGTCCACATACTTATGGCCTTGTGTTGACATTTGTTTTTCTGTTTTGTTTTATTACCACCACACAAAACCAAAGCGTCAGCTCTGACGGAGACGGAGAGACAGAAGAGAAAGAGACGTTCCATATGAAAGGACGCTGTCGACAGAAAAGAAAGACATGGAGTTTAAAAAAAAATGAAGCGGTGAGGCCGGGGGGTAAGTGGGGAGGAGAGAGGAGGAAAAGAAAAATCAATAGATTCCTCTGCAGGCTGCCTCTCTCTGAACAGGTAATGTATTAATGACCTTTACACTCACATTGTGGAAACTTATCAGTCTGCGGCTTATTTAGGCCGGGCTGACGGAGCAGGATCCCGAGCCATTTCATCAATACCCGCCTCGACAAGGCCGTTACTCAAACCAAGACACTAGATATTAAAGCTTGATAGATCCGCAGAGAGCCGGGAGGGGGGGGGGGAGGAGGGAAAATAAATAAAGAGAGAGAAAGGGAGAGAGAGAAGTCCCCTGCTTCATACACCCTCTACCGGCTTCCAACGCGGCGCTTTCATAGACTCAGCTCTGACCTTCGCAGCACTTAGAATATGAAGCCCGGCGTCGGTTATTGCCATTATCTTAATTTGGCCCGCAGATTGTTTATTGTAAAGGCTCCACGTCAGTACGAGCTGGAGCTGAATACAAATGGGGATGCAGCGGGGGATTCAATGCCCCCCCCCACACACACACTCAGCCCCCACTGTCAGGTCACGGTGTTGGACAGGAGGCTGCAGTGTACCGGTATCTGATAGGCTGTCAACACCTGGGGCGGAGTCACGCGTGTCAGATCAGATGGGGAAACGTTCATCAGTCTGCAGCGCTGCCGCAACTTTAGACTGTAGACACGACTGCTCTACACCAACACACGTTTTATAAGAGACGTCCAATGGAGCTACAACTTCTAGTGCAGTCAATAAAATCATGTCAACCCTAAGGTACTTGTACTTTACTTGAGTTTTTAATTTGATACTTACAGGTACATTTAACTGAACTACATTTATCCGACGGCTTTATTTAAGAGTTACTTTGCAGATGAAGATTTTAGAGACCTAATAATGATCCTATAAAATACAAGACATTGTTAGACTGTGAACTTAACCACCTGACTATTAAAAAATGTGTAAAAGGACCTCTACTGCAGCCGGCTACCATATACACAACTACATGCTGTGTGTGCGTTAATGCATCAATAGTAGTAATAATCCAACAGTATGATATTAAATAATGTACCAACTAAAGAGCCCATTTTGGTGTAAAGTGCTTTTATTTTTATACTTATTTGATTTTGCTGATAAAACGTATGTACATTTACTGAAGTAAAGCTTTGAATACAGGACTTTTTATTTGATTCTGAAATTGTGGTACTGATCATTTTACTTCTGAATATTTCCTCTACCACTGTGTGGCTTTTGATGGAAAGATGCAGGATACAACGTGGTCTCATGCAAACCATGCCGCTGGTTTCTGACCTCTTGTTGCCCCCCAGGAAGAGCTCTGGACTTTGAAGCCAAACGGTGGAATCACAATTCACCTGTCCGTCGCGTGATGCCATGGGGCTGACTAACATTGGGAAAGAGAATTTTTTTTTAACCTTTAACCATCTATGGCTGGTTCGCTCCAAAATCAGAAATACAGATTTTTCCTGTCCTATGTTCTTTCAACCAGTTTCTACATATTCACAACAGGGTCCGTAGATTATCTCCAGGAACCGGGTTGTGAGCTTTGAGCGCCACAAGCCCAGTGCCATAGAGTCCCATTATATATTGGAGACATCTCTCCAGAGGATGCCACCAAAACTAGGTAAATCACACCAAAACCATCTAGATTGGGAAATATCACGACCGGTGCAGGATTTTGAGATAATTTTTCTAATTTAGAAAATTAGAAAAATAAACAATAAAAAGAGATTTACAAAGAATGTGAAAATATGTTTTTTGTTGTATCTGACAGGTCAGAGTGTTTGAGATTCTGCGATCTGAAAAAGGTGCTTTGAGTTGAGGTTGTTCAGAACCTGGAGTGGACTCGGATTTTCTGGGGTTCTTTCTGTAATCTCTGTAAAGCTTTCATGTGCTGCGCTGGTTGGGTTCTGGTGTCTGAGCCGCATGCTGCCTCTCGGCCCTCACCTGGTTCCGCAGCTGTTTGATGGAGTGCTGCAGGGTCAGGATGTGGCTGAACAGCGGACTCTGCAGGGTCTCCCTCAGGCTTCCCATCGTTTCACTGTGGGTCCACTCTTCCCTCTGGACCAGTTTGGCCTGCAGACGCTCCAGAGCTCCCAGAACCTGCTGACGCTCCGCCGAGGACCCTGAGGACCAACGCAGGATGTGTTCATTATACAGAAGAGACTCAGACAACGAGACTTCCTGCGATTCCAGCCGTGAGCTGTTTGAAATGTTCAGCGGGTGAGAGGATTTACCTGTTGGGACATTTTCAAACATGGTCGCCCCTCGGTCTCCGTCTGTCGCTCTGGATCAATCTGAACAGAGGAGGAAAGAAAACGTATCCGTTATTTCACTCATATTTAAAACACTGGCCGACACGAACAACATAAAGGACGGGCTTTTTCCATTTAAAGGTCTACCAGGAAAGAAAGGGTGTATTCCCTCTATGGCTGCCGGAAGGCTTTTAATTTGAAACATCTGCAGGAAGTGTTGCTGTACAGTAGCATCACGTCAAACAAAAAACATCAAAAGCAGAACGACAGGAGTTCATTATCACTGACCGGAAACACTGTTGTTGGTAAACAGAGACAGAGTGGCGAGAGTGACATGACTGCGTTCAAATCGACATATTATACTGAAGTTACGGCACATTAAAACAAGAGACTGGCATGTCATCAAATATACTCCATTTATAATTACTCTAGAAAGATTTCCTTTAATTTGCAGTTTTACTTTTAAAAGAAAAAATGTATTTAATACATTGTGAAGCGCTTTGAATTGTGTATGAAGTAATATATGAAGCCGTTTGAAATAAATGTGCGGTTCTCGCTGCAGTCGAGGAAAATAACAAGCTGTGATTTAAGAATGTAGAGTATCTCCAGACCACTGGCCCCGTGCAGTACCGGTCCTCAGGCGCTACATATACACGCATTCATTTCTGCAGATTTATATCATTTTGGAGGTACAGCTGCAGCTTCGACCTATTTCACACCAAGATGACATTTCTAACTGCAGGTCAGTTTGGTTTTTTCTTAAGTCAAAAAACCAGACTATATATGTGAGGGAAGAATCCATAGAAACATCTGGCCAGTCAGATTGTGAGCTGATTGCATATCATATATTCTGATCTGGGAGCAGCCGGATTCACCTGGAAAAGCTGCTGCTCACTACTCTGTCCTGACAACATTACAGTGTAGCACTCCTAATGTGCCGTGTGCATCTGTAAACCTCTGGCTACACCAAACAAGGTTTCAACATTTCATAGAACAAGCGATTAACGATTCATTTGAGAATTAATTCATAATAAAAATAATAATTAGTTGCTGCCCTAACCAGAGGTGGCTGATAAACTAAAAGTATTTTAGAATAAATGTAGGGCTGCATGAAACTAATAAATATCTATATTATTGATTAATCAGTCAATGTCTTGTTTTTTAAACAAGATATTCAGTTTCTATAAAACTGAGAACAAAGCCTCACATTTGCTGAGCTTATTTTAGCATCTTTGCTCCATCAATGAATTAAATGTTGTCAATTATCAAATCTATTGATATAGGGCTGTGCGATATGGCCAAAATATTCTATCACCATAATCACCATCTACCAGTAATTTTATAAATAATTTGTCGATATAAAAATAACCACATGGTTTTGTATACTCTTGTGAAAATCAAATCCTTGACACATGAAAAGTATTTATAAAGTATTTTCTCATTCAATTAAGAGCAGCAGTGCTAAATAACTTAATAGTGAATCACCATATCTCAATAAGATTTCATCACGATACGATTCCTCTGAAAGACGATAAATTATCATATTGAGTTATCGCCCCAGCCCTCTATGAATAATATCTAGGAGTTACCTGTCCACCGGTAACCCCTCATAAATCTGTGTGGTCAAATCTTTTCCAAGAGGATTTAGAACAATGAGGCTGTTGTTCACTGAATGGCCTGCTCATGTCCTGTCTCCAGGGGAGGAAGTGTTACTAAGTTCATGTATTCAAATACTGATACATATTCAGAACTCGATATTTGTTGTAAGCAGCTATATATTTCTTCTACATCTCAAAAAGGGAAATATTTTTATCTGACAGCTTTACTTACTGTACAGATTTTCCATCTCCTTTTTTTGTCTATGAAACAAAACTTGTATCTGTAGATATGTTGAATGTTTGTGATAAACTGAAGGATGAAGTGTTCCTTCATCATGTGTTGAAAAAATCCTTATTCTTCTTAAGCTAAATAAGATATTTTTAAAAGCCTCTTGGATCAGCTGGAATGTGCATCATCACAGAACTGACAACAAATATGTGATGATTTTATAGAATATGATGCATTGTTGTAGATTAAACTAGCAAATAGAACATAAAAATAGTTTAAAAACAGCATTAAAATGCAACTTACACATTGATGCGAAACTTAATCCAGAAACACCATTTATAATTTGACACATTTGACTTTTACTTGCAGTGATGTACTTCTACTTCAGTAAAGGATCTGAATACTTCCACCACTCTGCTGTCTCTTACATATCTTCCACAAGTGCACGCGGCTGATTTCCGACACTGAAATGGCTGCACGTGAAGCAGCCGTCTCTGTGCTGTGTTCAGATGTGTGTGTGTGTGTGTGTGTGTGTCTCTCAAAAGGTATCACAGGTGAAAAAGCCTCGTTATCAGACTGTTATCTCAGCGTTTACACAACACGGCTTGTTTACACAGGTCAGAACTGAACCCGCTTTTTATCAGGTGGGAAAAACAAACCCACACAAACACTCCTCCAACTCGCGAATCAAAGAACAAAGACAGGAGAACCGAAACTGCACTTCTCATTTAAGCGACACCGTGAAAACTCTGGGCTCACACCTGTAGACTCTCACCTGAGAAACCAGGAAGTGAAACTCAAACAGCTCAAGAGGGGAGGGGGGGTTAAACCATATGTGGAAAATAAACTATAAATATAAACTATAACCAATAAAACATACATCTGTTCGCCTTCATGTTGTGCGTAACCTGATATATTTTACCGTAAATCTGTTATCGGCAGGTTCAACTTGCAACAGGTGCATCAAACTTCTCAGAAACAAACCGAAGGAAAAGAAAACTATGGAACCAGCTGCGGCTGCTTATAACACACGTTTGTAAATCTGACTGAACTTCGCCGAGTGTTTCTGAGCTTCAGCTGAATCAAAAACAACATTACAACAACTTCTCCTCCATCAGCTTGATAACTTCAGACAGCGACGCAGCTAACCGATGGCTATCCGTTAGCATGCTAATTTAGCTTGTTAATTAGCGTCTAAAAAACCTCGTCACGTAATTTTTGGTGCGGATAAACATTCGGGAGATGAAGCCGCCAGTAAATGAAGAATGTATAGACAAGAGACGGGTTTTAAACTGGTGTGAAAACTCACATGAACTGGATCCAGTTTGGCACCAGTGTCGCTTTAATGCCGCGTTCAAGTGCTGTCGGACCGAGAAGCAACCCTTCTGGATACAGCGGTGGTGGGATGTAACTAAGTACATTGAGTAAATGTTTTGGGCTACTTGTACTTCATTTGAGTATTTCAATTTCCTTCTACTTCATATTTCTACTCCACTACATGTCAAAGGAAATTAGTATTATCTATTTCCACTTCATTTATTTGACTTGACTTGATTTATTTTACATTAAAAACACATGATATGCTTATCTTTTATGATGCGGTACTATACTGCTAATCCATAGTATAATATATAAAGTAACTAAAATCGTTCCACATTGATGAACTATAACATTAAAATACTCTGAAATGCTTTATTTAGCAATAAAACAGAATCATATAATATAATAATAAAGGAACCACTCACCATTTACTTTCGATAGGCTACATTAAAACATTGTACTGATAATACTAATGTACTTTTATTTAAATGTTTTTGATTCAAGATGTTTCCTTGTAATGGAGTATTTTTAGACTAGTATTCCTACCTTAACTTAAGTAGAAGGTATTAGTTGTTTTGCGTATTTTGTTACAATTCATGTATCATATTTTCTATATTGTTTTTGCATTATGTTGCCACTCTACAGGTGTTGTAAACGCAGCATTTTTGTTTAAATTCCCGTTTTTCATAGTTCAATGAAGTTGCTTGAAAAAATAAATGTACCCACTCGTGTGGCGCATTCATGTCCTCTGTAATTTAACAAATCAAATCAAATCACCGTTATTTGTCAGGTACACAATCAAACACAGTATAATGTGTCGTGACATTATTTTGTGCCTTGTTCCAGAGAGCAACTAACAATAGACCATATGTATGATAGAATACTGTAGAATAAAAAACATCTATATAAACATTGTATATATATATATTTATATATACTAAGTAAATTCATAAATTAAGTAATAAATGCACGGAAATGGCAATAGCAATGTCTTGTTAGACATGGAAAATAAAAAATAGTCAATAACATGCTCATATAAATAACAGTCGTAAAAAGATGATCTTAAAATGTTCTTCGTCTTTAGAACCTTATTTGACACTGAGCATCGCAGACATCTGTACTACCATTTCCACCACAGTCTTGAACGCACCACAGTGTCACGTGACAGTTAAACATGGCGTCCTCCCGGAGACGGCTGGTTTGTTTACGCTCCGGGATTTGGAGCTTGTTATTTTACTGTGTTTACTCTCATTTAAAGCTCGTTCTGGCGGAGGAGGTGGACAGCTGCGACAACCTAAGACTCGGACAATATCCTTTAATGACTGTGTGGTTACGTAACTCTGATTTAACGGAAGATTAATCGCCGTGTATAGCGGTCGCTAACGTTGGCCGCAGCTGGCTTAGCCTTGTTGACAACACCTAGGTTAGCTAATTCAGCAGATAAAACGTTATCACATTAATATTAGTACCGCTGTATAAAATATTGTTGCTGTTTTGTATTATTCACTTTTTCATTGTCGGATAGTAACTTACTATAATGAAAGTAAGCTGTATGTAGTCAGTTATAATATATTCAGTTTAAGATGTACTAACTACGTACAGCTTCTTTACACATAAAACAAATTGCCCCTCATCCAGCTGCAGGTGAGAAAAAAAACTACCGTAATTAAAACGCTCAAGGAAAAGAAATGATAAAGTAATGTAATATATAATAGAACGCATATTGAAACGGGCTTTATAAAGTGCTTTGCAATTCAGAATGGAATCAAAAGATATTTAACAGCTAAACAATGGCTAAATGTCA